GAGTGCCTCAGTTTACTCAACTGTTTTTGTTGTTCAATCATAACCAACTCTTCAGGACCCCATGGGGGTGATTAGACATTTCCTTCTGTAGTGGATTAAGGTGAACAGAGTTAAGTGACTTGCCCAGGATCACAAGTGTCTGAGGCCGATTTAAACTCAGGTCTTTCTGACTCCAAGCCCAGCACTCTATCCACTGAGCCGCCTAGCTGCCTCCTCAACTGTAAAATGTGGATAATAATACACTTACTTTCTAGGGTTGGTGTGATCAGGTGAGATTTGTAAATTGCTTAGCATACATAGTACCTGGCACGTAGTAGGCACTATATACTAGTTATTATTACTGTTCTGCCTTTTACATGGTTAGGCAGAATCAGTTTCTGCTATTTCTTATGGGGTATGTGTGCAGATGGGTGTTAAGACAGAGTCCCTGTGCCTGTGGAAAATCTCCATGTAGACTTTCAGTCCTAAATATTTGAGTTTGCTTATACTCATGGTAACTGACATTTTGAATCAATCCAAGATAGAGATGCTTAGTGAGAGTTCTAATTATAAATGTTCCCTGGTGGTGATTCAAGGTGTTTTTACTTTGTGAACTGTATTCTCTCTTGTTTAATGGAATCAGCTGTAATTACTCTATATCTGGCACATAATTCCTTTCTTTTGAGGTTTAGAGGTTAAAACAATTTGCAGAAAGTAATTATTTTACCATCTTGCTGGTCATTTGACTCTAGTTCTTATAATTTCTACTATAGAAAATAATCCTTCCTTATTAATAATAGTTAGAGCCAGAATATAATTTCCTTTGATGGCTCTTCTGTCTTTTGAAGGATAAAATTTTTATTAAGGCATATCAAATTAGTAGCTGTCCTCCTTTTGGCAGAACTAGTATATATCCACAGAATTGACATCTCCCCAACTTCTCCATCACTGCTATATCATACCAAGGATGTGATATTCTCTGAATTCCTCATTTATTTTCTCTTTTTGTTAAGGCAGTATGAAGTGTAATCTGAATAAATACACCATTGCTTCTGTCTTCATTGATATTTACCAAATTGCTCTCCACCATGATTTCCCTCTGATTTGTAAATTTCCTCATGTGATCATTTCTTTTTAATTCATTGTCCAGTTAAGTTCATCCTCCCCAAGTTTCTTTGATATTTCCTTGCACTAGGATGTCTTCCCATGAGATTTGATTTTTACCTATATTTTTTGCATTTTGTGTTTAGACGACCAAAGTCATAGATTCTTTGGGATATAGGCCTAGTAGTGATATGGCTGGGTCAAAAACCATGTACAGTTTAGTGATTTTTTTTTGGGGGGGGTGGTATAATTCCAAATTGCTTTCCAGAATGGCTAGACCAATTTATAGTTCCAGTAAGATTGCATTAATGTGTCTTTTCCTGAAGTCTCTCCAATAATTCTCATTCTTCTTTTTTGGTAATTTTTGCCAATCTAATAGATGTGAGGTGGAATCTCAGACTTGCTTTAATTTTCATTTCTCTAATAATTAATGATTTGGACCATTTTTTTTTATATGGCTATTGGGAGCTTAGATTTCTTCCTTTGAAGGAAGGATATTTTTTGACTATTTACCAATTATAGCCATTCTTTTTCAGTTAAATGACTTTTTAATTTGATTTTCATGGCCTTAGGCAATTACATTCTTATCCACCTGTTTTTTTATCCCTGTAATTCCTATATTTTGAGCTTTCCTCCAGAAATTCAAACCCCATTGTCAAGCATTGTCATCTTAACCAGATGTTTCTAAATCTTTCTTTTCTGAATCCCTTTGTCACCTGGTTAAATTTCACCTAGTCCAAGCCCTATTAGATGTTTCACACAAAATGCCTAGTTTTATGGATGATATATTTCTGAAGTATTGGCTGCCTTGTATCAGTCTTGTATTGTAGTATTGTATTCTAAATTTCTTCCTCCTATTCCTTTAGAAAGAATGAAAATATATGTTTTATATTGTGTTCCTGGCTCTAGCAAAAGAGACAGAAGAGGCTATGACTAATTTAGGATATCTAGTCTTACTTTTTTTTTCAGTCCATATATTTATTTTGGGTATCTCTCTCTCTCTCTCTCTTTTATTGTTGTTGTTCAGTTGTTTTTCAGCCATATCCAACTCTTCATGGTGGTATTTGTTAATTTTTTTGGAAAGATACTGGAGTGATTTGCCATTTTTCTTCTCCAGCTCATTTTACAAATGAAGAAACTGAGGCAAACATAGTTAAGTGACTTGCTTACCTAGGGTCACACAGCTAGTCTTGAGACCAGATTTGAGCTTAGGAAGTCTTTCTGACTCTAGGTTTGGCATTCTATCCAATGTGCCACCTAGCTGCTACATACATACATGCACACATATACACACATATATATGTGTATATATTTGTGCATATAATTTTATTTTCTTGATGTTTATTAAATCTTTAAATTGAGTCAGAGGACTATCTCAGTACTCAGTTTCTTGAGAAAAGAAGATGTGGAAAAGCTAAACCTTTTTTTAACCATATTTTCTTCATAAATATATCTGGAACTTAATTTTTATTTATTCTGTTAGTATCTATTGTGTATGTCACAGGCAGGTTCTTGTTACTAAGTGTGCATCCAGTTAAGTGGCTCAAATGACTTCATGTCTGAAAAAAATATGATATTGTAATTTAAAAAAAACTGTTAATTTTTTTTCTCTTTATGATGAAAAGTTTTTTCTGCCCTTCGGACATATAGGAATATTTAAGATGGGATGTTTTGTTACTAAAGTAAATCTCTATAAAATAAATGCAGAAATATGTGTTAAGGGTGTACTCTGTGATTCTTCGGTGCTCATTAAATTTTCATCAGTTCCATCATTGTAGACAACCTATGGCTTTCTCAAGCTTTTTTTTTTCCTTTAACTAATATCAGTTTCACATTTTTACAATACTAGGAAAAAATATCAGTGTTCCAAATGGATATGCAATATAAATATAGGGGCAGCTACGTGGCGCAGTGGATAACGCACTGGCCCTGAAGTCAGGACGGCCTGAGTTCAAATCCGGCCTCAGACCAAACACTTGACACTTACTAGCTGTGTGACCCAGGGCAAGTCACTTAACCCCAATTGCCTAAAAAAAATACATATATATATGTGTGTGTGTGTGTGTGTGTGTGTGTGTGTGTGTGTGTATATATATATATATATACGTATATATAATTTAAAGAATAGATGAATATGAAAGTTCATCTTGTTCACAGTAATAGTTAACCAACATTTGTGTAGCACTTATGTATAGGCATTGTGCTAAGTGCTTTACAATTATCACATTTCATCCTCACAGCAACTCTGGGAGATAGATGCTGTTATTATTCCCATTTTATAGATGAAGAAACTGAGGTAAATAAAGATCAAGTGGCTTGCCCAGGTTCATAGAACTAGTAAGCATCTGAGGCTGAATTTGAAGTCAGGTCTTTTTGGCTCCAGGCGTGGTATTCTATCCATTATGCTACCTGGCTATTAGGGGGACTGTGTATTATCCCACCTTTCTGGAAAATAGTTTGGAATTATGAAGGAAATATTAATAAACTTTGATCCAGTAGTTCCATGACTGCTGTAAAAACAACAACAACAAGAAGTCCCCTTTAGACTAAGATATTTGCCCTTGTAGTGACATCTGGAAATAAATTATGTGTCCCAAATTGGGCATGTAACTGGAAAAAATGTGGCATGAATGTAATGACATTAATTCACTTTAAATAATGATGAAAATAAATCAGAGAAACATAAGAAGACTTGAATGATATGATTCAAAGTAAAGAAAGCCAAATAAAGATAAATATAAATAATGTAAATGAAGGTTGTATTATATAAGGTCAAATGTAATGGCCAGTGTTGGCTCCAAATGATTGAATTGGGCAAGGGAGGAGGGAGGGAAGGAAGGGAGTGTGGTGCAGAGAAGATCTGGGCCAAAACCACAGATTCTTGTTGACAAAAACTAAAAGTTCTTCATTTTAGTGGTAGAAGACAACATATAAAAGGTAGCTGAAAGGAGAAAACTGTTATGTCAAAAGTCAAGAGAATTAAAGATGATTGATCTGGACCCTTCCTCAAAAATGAATGTTCCAGGAAGAATTTACCAATTGGAAAGGGGGCCAATGGGGAAGGAGGGAGAAGGCAGCTGAAACATAATGGTAAAGTCCAGAGAATAAAGAGTAACTGGTCTGGGGCCCTTCTTGAAACTGGTTTTGTGAAGAATTCGCCAATTATGAAGTGATTGATGTGTCAAAACAGTGTATTAATTAAAATATTTTATTACCCTCTTCTTCCTTGGAAGACAGTGGTATATTTCTTTTTTTGGGGGGGGGGGAAGCAGGGCAATTGGGGTGGGGTTAAGTGACTTGCCCAAAGTCACACAGCTAGTAAGTGTGTCTGAGGCTGGATTTGAACTCAGGTCCTCCTGACTCCAGGGCTGGTGCTCTATATCCACTGTGTCACCTAGCTGCCCCTTAATGGCATATTTCTTCTCTCCAATGAACAGTATTTAGCTTTTGGTGTTAAAAAAGTGACAACAACAACAACAAAATACGAGATCTCTCCTTATCCTCCTTGGCATTAGGCAAGATTTCAAACATTACCACACTAACTGCCTTTAAGAAAGTGATGGCAGTAGTGCATTTAGTTCCAGTCAATTGAGAAAGGAGGTACAAGGTCATTCCTGGAACATCATGGTCACAATCAAATGACTTAAAAACAAAAACTTCTGAAATCCCATTTGCAAAGGTACAGAATGCTAAAAGAAATTGAAGATAAGGAATGCATTCAGAAGGCTAAAGAGGTATGAATTATAGGACAGGAATTGAGTCTGGAGAGTAAGAATTGGAATGATTGTTGTGAAAGCTACTTGAATTTCAAACCACTAGGTTTTTTGCCCTTTGCCATTCCTAAATTAAAAGAGGACAAATTTGCATTTTTAAGCTAAAGATTAGCCAGAGCTGTAAAACATTTTGTACTTTTTCAGGTGCCTGTAGCTACTCCCAAAATACCAGGCTTATTCTCTAGCCACGCTGAAGACTGTCTCATTTTCGTTCCAAGTTCTTGAGTCTGATGATGTGAGGTAAGTCTAAAAATGTTTTCATCTTTAATGAAGAACAATTCTTAACCTGCCTTCGTGAAAGCTTTTTTAGATCACTAGCATCTTAGAAGTTGAAATTCAAAATTGGTTTGATAGGCTGAGAAGAAATATTTAATCTCATTTTGGTTAAAAAAGATGGTCAAGTCTCTATTTAGAAACTGAAATGACATATATTTTACTTGGTGCTCTGATATCTTTCAAATTACTTTGTTTCACTCGCTAATAGCATCACACATTTTAAAGGATACATTTGTTTTGTTTTGTTTTGTTTTTTGGGGGGGGGTTAGGCAATGGGGTTAACTGACTTGCCCAGGGTCACATAGTTAGTAAGTGTGATGTGTCTGAGGCCATTGAACTCAGGTCCCCCCTGCCTCCAAGGCCGGTGCTCTATCCACTGAGCCACCTAGCTGCCCCTTGAAGGATACATTTGAACAAACACTTATCAAGTATGTGCTACATGCAAGGCTGTTGTGTTAGTGAGATTTCAACATGAAAACCTTCAGGAGGACCTTTAAGGTGCTTATACTCTAATAATTTTAATTCTATATTTTTGTTCACTTTTCACTGATACAAATTCTGATTTTTAGGCCTTTTATTTTAATAGTAATGAATTGAGATCAGTGCTGTGTTTTGGTGGCATTTTTGCTAATTGGAGTGATGCCTTGATGATTCACTGTCCCAGAAGGTCGAGGAGAGGCATGATGAGAAGGGACATGTTTCATTTAAGAGTTGAACTGGATGGCAGTTGAGGATTCTTTTCAGCTCTTGAATCTATGATTGTGAATGTGTGAGTTGATACTTTGAAAATTAGCTTGAAACTGGAACATAGGAATGAATTCTGGGTTTCTAGGCAACCTTGCAAAGTAGAACCTATCTAGACCATTGTCCCTAGTAGCTTGTTGAATGGCATTCTAAAAAAGTCTTTTCAAATTGGGAGTTGCTTGAGTACTCGCTCCACTCAGGGTTAGTAATCTAACACCCTACTTTGAGTTGGAAAGTAGTGCTCAATTCTGAAGGCCTAGGATAGTGAAATTATAAGTCTTAGTTACTGATGGATAACCAAGACCCAATTTGTCTATAGCCTTGTTATTGAACTGCCTTATTAGTCTCCTTATGTGAGGAGGGAAGAATTCTTTCTACATCTAGTACATTCTATTACATTGTACTCATAGCAGATGATTTTCCATTTGCTTTTTTTGTATGCTCACAAAAAAACAATTTGGTTGTGGATCCTCGAAGAGAAAATAATTTGGTTGTAGTAAATGAATCATTTTTTGAACAAACTTCACATCTTTTAGTGGCAGTAAACTTTCAGAGTAAGAGATCTTAGAATTTGTTAATGTTTTAAAAATTTATTAAACTACATTATTTAACATGAGAAATTTGATCCCAAAGACTCCCAATAGTTCAGGTCTCTTATTTTCAGATTATGTGGAGGGTACTAAGATTCTGGGGATTTTCCCTGGCTGTCCCACATGGCTGGAATGTTCTTCCTCAGCCCCACCTTCTGATTTCCTTGGCTTCCTTTAAGTCCCAACTAAAATCCCATCTTTTACTGGAAGCCTTCCTCAACCCCTCTTAATTCTAGTGCCTTCCTTCTGTTAATCATTTCCCATTTTTCCTGCATAAAGCTTGCTTGGTATATATTGGTTTTCATGTTGTTTCCTCCATTAGTTTGCAAACTTATTTAGGGCAGGGAAGCAAAAAAAGTATTTTGCTTTTTGTATCTCCAGCTCCTAGCACAGTGACTGTCACATAGTAGGTGCTTAGTAAATGTTTATTGATTGATTGAATTAATTTACTCATGATATTGAGTTGTTCTGGTACAAAATATGTTGCTGACAGCTGGTACTACAGAGAACCAGAATTAATTAGCAAACAATTGACTAATGAAAATAATTTAATACTGATTAAGTGCTCTTTTGGGAGCACTAATTTTATTTTAAAACTGCCTGCTTCGTGAGATCTAGCACAAACTAATAAATAAGATGGAATGTATTTTATGTATCAATGTTATACTTTGATACAGGTACACCCTTTAGCAGTGCAGATTGCAATCCACCCACACCCTCTTATTGGGTGTGAGACTCTTGTCTCTGTTTTCCCCTAAATCCTCAATAGGGAGTTCATTCAATGTATTTAGGGGATTTCTTTTAGATTTCTCGGTACCATACAAATGCTAAAAGGACAAATGGGGCATTCATCAGTTATCTCTCACTCTTGTTCCTTGACTGGCCTCTTTACTATTGTAGTCCTACATCTCTAATGCTACCTGTAATGATGGTTTCCTATTCAGTGCCTCACTTTTAATGTGATATAGACTACTCATGCCCACCATACACCTGGTGATTATTACTTGGGTAACTGATGGCTAAGTTCTTGTTTCTCCCTCTGTAATATGTCTCATCCTATGTCTCTCTGCTCACATAGCTATCATCCTAGTTCAAGCCCTTATCACATCTTCCCCTTACCTTCTAATTGTTTTTCTGCCTCAAATTTCTCACCCATCCGATCTGTTGTCCTTACAGCTGCCAAAGTGTCTTTCCTCTGTCACAGATGAACCCCCATGTTTCCCTGTAACCTCTGTGAACAGATATAAACTCTTCTGTTTAGTTTCTAGAGCCTTTCACAACTTGACCCTAACCTGTCTTTCGATCTTCATCGTACACTTCTCCCCTTCCCGTACTCCATGTTGTTTTCTGATCCTTTACCAAATGATATTATTGGACACATATACCTACTGTTTCATCTCTACATAATCTTGATGAGAACATTTTACCCATGTGTTGAGTTCATCCTTGATTAAGATATGAGAAGGAAACAGGCTCTTCCATTTTCCATTAGATGATTTCTGTATAATTAGAAAATTGACATGTGGAGAAAAACCTGCTGTGCTTATTATGTGTTGACTGTTTTAGGAATACCTGCTTCAAAGCACCCTTTCAAATAAAGTATCTCCCCTGTACATGCCAAGATCATATGATTCACTGAAAGAGGTTAAAAAATAAAGATAGCTTTATTTAACAACTCTATACTTATGCATATTTGTCACTTATGTCATATTTGGGAGATGCTAGCACGTCCAAATAGAAGAAGTCATTTAGATGGTGAGGTTCTCAAGAGGTCCTTTCTTGTAACACTATTCTGATTGTATCAAACCCTGGAACATTGCAGAGCCTACTTTATGAAATCCCCTCTACACGTACCCGTAATCTCATGTACCTCATCTCTAGTAGGTTGCCTCCTGAGGTAACCCTCTTCCTTAAATTTTAGTCTTTCACTATGTACTGGATTCTTCCCTACTGCCCAATTCTCTCTCATCTTTAAAAAGCTTTCACTAGACCCTAATATCTTCTCAGGTTTTCATCCTGTATCTCTAGAGCTATTCATTTATCTCATTAATCTTGTTGTATTTGGCCTATTTGTTATTCTAGCCTATTAAAAACTTTTGATAAGCATACCTTCTTTGTCTTGAACTGAATCATTCATAAATCAGAACATGCCCAAGATAGAGCTCTAGTTATACTACTAGAGATTTTCCTCTAGGCTTTCATCTATTACTCAGTACTTTGAATATGGTTCAGCTAGTTAATAGTACCCGTAATGTAATTTACATTTTTCCACATATATAATATCTTAAGAAACTTTGTCAAATTGCTGGAAAATGGTTATGCTATCAGCATTTCCTTGATATGATAGTCCAGAAACCTTATAAAACAAATGAAAATTAAGATTAACTTGGCATGACAAACTTTGTTAGTGAATCCATGCTGGTTTCTCTCCTTTTCTAATAATCAATTTTATTATCTAATATTTAGTCAGTCAATAAACATAGATTAAGTGTTTACTATGTGCCAGGCACTGTAAGTGGTGGGGATACAAAGAAAGTTTAAAGTCCTTGTCCTTAATCTAATGGCAGAGATAACATGTTAGACAACTATGTTCCAAAAAGGTATATATAGGATAAATAGAAAATAAGCTTCAGAGGGAAGGTACTAGAATTAAAAGGGATTAGGAAAGGCCTCCTGTAGAAGATGGGATTTTCCTAGGACTTGAAAGAAGCCAGAAGGAGACAGATGAGGAAGGAGAGCATTCCATGCATGAGGGACAGGCAATGAAAATGCCCAGAGTCTAGAGATAGAGCATCATTTTGTAGAAGAGTAAGAAGGTCCGTGTCATTAGATAGAAATGAGGAGGGAGTTAGAGGTATAAGGAATAAGGGCCTAAGAAGATTGGAGGGGAATGCGTTGATTATAAAGGACGCTGAATGCCAGAGGAATTTATATTTGTTTTTGGAGGGAAGGTCATAAGAACCACTGGAGTTGAGTAAAATGTATCCCTGTTTGATTTTTGGTTTGTGATTCATTGCTAGTGACAGCTAGAATCTTTTCTATTGACATATATTGAAATTCTGAGCCCCAACAGTGAACTTTTAGCATGAAAACTTTAAAAAATTTTTAATATTACATAAAACATAATTTTAAAATTATATATTACATGAAAATAATATTACAACCTCAATATCTCCATTTAATTATATCCTCTGTACTTTTTCCCTTTTTTGCCCTTTTCTTTTTGGAATATTGATGGAAACAAATAATCTTCACTTTATTTATAAGACATTTACCAAGTTTATTAAGGTGAAGCTATCTGAGAACAATTATCTTTAAATCCATGTTAACTGAAAAAAGCAGGGGAAGGTGAAGTAATGAGATTGTTATATATTATTTCCTTTTGTTTGAGGTCAAAATATCACTGAGCTTTTTTTCTCTTTTTATGCCTACAAATAAAAGTTTTCTTTAGAAAATAATGATGAACATCTATAATCAGACTTCAAAATTGCCAGGAGAGTAATTTCCTTACAGGTCCTAGCATGAACCATCTGGCTGTAATCAATCATTTCACAATTTGCATATGGATATTCTCAGAATTTCTGTTTGAAACATTTTTTTTTTCATTTTCCTGTTTGAGGCAGGTCTCCT